CCCCCCCCCCTCCTTCATCTGTTTTTCCCTCAATTGCCTTTCTTTTCAAATCATTCCCACAAAATTAGTTCCTTGAAGAGGTTGCTGAGACGTCAAATAGAGAACTCTATTGTAAGAGTGATTGTACGTACTTGTTTTACCCCAGGAGAAGAGCAGATACCATTTCTTGGTTAGATCTCTAAAGTAGACTGCATTTGAGGTAAGTTTACGAGTGACCCTGAGGTAGAGAGACAGAAGAGAAATTGTTAACTTGAAAAGAGAAATAAAAAGTAAAACTCATTTGAAAAATCTTTGAGAATCCATCCCTTTATTACAATTTTTTCTTTTTTCAGCATCAACACTAAGGTTGTTTCCAACATATTTCCATGACAGTAGCCAAAGACGTTCATCAGTCAAAGGGTAAGGAACAGTGGGATCTCATGAGCATTTGATGGGTTAAGAGGATGGCACAAGTTTTCTAAACCAATTAGAGAGCAAAGTAAAGAAAGACAAAGCAATGAAAATTGCTCTGTTTGTTACTAAGACTTGTCAGCAACCTTTTTTACCAACCTGCACTTTATCCCACCATCCTCATAAACTATCTTGTCAAAGGTGACGTCAGAGTTACCAGTCTGAGAGAGAAATTATCTTATGAAGGATCTTATCACCCAATATGTTCTACTAATTATGAGGATGACACTGTCATGCTATAAAGAAATAGCCAGATATTCCTCACCAGGTCCTGTCGGACAACACTGTGACCAATAGAATAGAAATGACGAAATTCTGCCAAATTAGTTGCCATGGTAGTGCACATTATGGAGTCCATCTTATCCTTAAGAAGGAGAACAACAAAAACAGACAAAATTTGTTGCCTGAGAAAATGTATGAACATAAAAGATCATGAAAACATGCAAATAAGCTGAATTTTCTATGGTGTTTCCTCTTACCATTAGCTTATTTTCATTAAAAGCAACTGCCACCCAGCGCTCTTTAGCACTCATGTCTATGATAACATTTCTTCCAGAAACATTGTAAGTGAAAAGATAGGTACAGTCTCCACTTCCAGCGCAGTTTGATGGTAAGGAGTAACACCCTTTGGTCTCTCCACATCCCTTTTTGTCAATCTACAATGTAAAATGGTTCCAGAACAAAGGGTCATGGAAATAAGGCTTCATGATAGAAAACCATACATTTGCTGGGCCCATTTTTTGATAGCCTCACCTGAAAGCTCTCCATTGAAGTCCCTCTAGTGACATTCTCCACTGGCGGACCGTGAACAACAGGTGAAGTAACTTTTTCCCAGAAAGTGGAATAGTTCTGAACGATGGTTGCGCTATATATAGAAAATAAATAACATGTGAAAGTCTGCAAAAGGCAGGGACCTCATATTTAAACATATTTCCTGAAGGAACTCTGTCTACACAGTTAAACTGTGGAGTGCCTTGCACAAGGGGCTTAGTGTAACAAAACACTTACAATAATGCAACAATCAATTCTAAGCTTCAACATTTCCATTTGGGCAACCCACATACATTTGATTGTCCTTCATGCCTGGACAGTGGGGTAGAAAATTTGAACCTTGCCTGGGTGGGGTGGGGAATTTGAACCAAAAGTATCAAGTCTTTCCAGGGGAACACACATTTTATCTTTTAATATGGAGGTGCTTAAAGAAAAAGAGTTCACTTTCACAAGCAGATGGAGGAGGAAAGGAGGAGGAGGTCTACAGGGTCTAAGTTTTAGGTTTCACCAAATAATTGACCATCAAATCTGGCACTTGGGAAAGGACATTTGAACTCAATTTTGGCCTTAGGGTGGGTTTTTGATAAACTCCCAGGTGGAGGGAGGTGGAAACGTCAAATTGACCAACATATTACATTTCACAACCACCCCCAATTCCCCACCCCCGACCCCCCCATTTCAACATGTTAAGCTTAATATTATGACCTTTAAAACAAACACATTTGTTACTAACATGAAGCTGATGTTCCCTGCGCTCTTTTCAGGAGCCATCCAAGTGAACTGAAGTGAATTCAAATTCTTAGCTGGCTTAGGATTGTTTTGACCAACTGTGTTCTAAATATAAGCAGAAAAGAGAAACCAACAACAAGACATCTATAACGTTTATTGACTTTAAAAGAATTTGAAATAAATATGCAGTACCTTACCTTTGGATTACCTCCAGAACAGTAAAAATAAGCTGTATCTACAAGAGGAAAAAAAATATGTCTGCTTGTCCACTAACGCTTCCAAAAAAAAAGAAAAGGTATGACCACCATTCTTTCACCAAAGATCAGCCAGAAATGTTGTATCCTTTGTCAGCCAGGGACTCCTGTTTCCTTTCTTTGTTTGTTTGCAAGAATAGTTAAGGAGAAATTACTTGGATCTAATTTGATGCCCTAGGGGTGTCAGCAGAATTCTCCAATGGGGGGGGAAGTCCTATACAAGGGTTGTACTGGGAATTTTGGGGCATTCAAGTTTCAGTGTTATAAACAATTAACAATCTTCCATGGTAGAAGAAAACTTAGAAACCCCTTATTTTCATCTTAAGTTCATGGTAAAAAAGAAAAAGTTACTTTCTTGGATGTCTTGTTCCCATGAACTGTCTTGAATTATACGCAAGAAGTAAAAGAAGCAGTTTAGAGAATACATACAATTTGGAATTTGAGTAAATGTTCCTACTGGCCAAGGAATTGAGCTTTCAGTCCCCTGTGCATTCAAAATGAATCCTGTAAAAGGCTGTGATCCTGAGATGGTCACTGTCAGGTTGTCTCCAGGGCTGTACAAGAGTGCAGACACATTGATGTTATAGGGAGGCAGTCCTTGTTGTGCCGGGGCATGTTTGTGGTGAGGGAACTTACTCTCACAGGTACTCAATGGAGGACCTTTAGAAAATCCCAACACAGTTGAGACACTGAGGAGCAGCAGCTGAGCTGTGACCTGAAATAGATTAAAAGAAAGAGTTTTTGCAAACATCACAGTTTCTTTAAATACTGCTTTTTTTACCTTTACTTTTTTCAGGTACACTAAGAAGGTGATTTAGACCTACCCAAGGACATAAGGTAATAATGAAATTGATTAGATGCTGGAGACAAGAGGTTGTTAAATCTTGTTGCTTAGATTTGGAACATAAATGAAGAAAACACATTATCTTAGCTACAATGTTGAGTGTGTGCCTTTGTAAAATTGTGTTTTCCAATCCAATGCATTTTGATCAGCGCAAAAAAAGAATCAAAATTATTGACTTGCCTGTTAATATAATTGAAATTCATTCACGGTGATTAAATTCATAACTTGACTCTGGTGGGAATACATTATAATTGTATTTGACATGCAATGTTTATTTGCAAATGTTACAATAAATAGGTTGAGCTAATGGTTCGCAAAGTTCAAATAATAGAGATTCCAAACTGGAATTCTTCCAGTTTTACCGTCTTAATAATGACCATCTTAACTTACACCTCATTTCTTTCAAGTCGGTCCCACTTTCCTTTGCAATTTCAAGGGTGACAGCATTTTCTGGAGAAATCCACTATTTTAATGCCAAGCAATACAAATTTAAATCCAGAACATTTAGTAGATGGCGTCCAGAGAGTGGGATGTATGAGTTAAGCATAATAAGCGAAAAAAAGCCATTTCTCGAAATACATACCTACAAAACACATACTACCACAGTGAAAATTCGAATCAGGTTTTCACCCAACGATGAAAATTGAAAACCAAAATGCATCTGAAGTGCCGATTTTTTTTAAATTCAGTATTAATAGCAAAAAACAAAAAACAAAACAAAAAACACAGGAAACAAAAATGAAATGTTGACTTCATTTTCCAACGTCTTTTAAAATCGTTTGGTTAAGTAGACGTAAGTCCTTAAGTCATCAATATAACGAATATAAATATGTTGGCCGAGGGGGTCGCCCTTAATTTTTGTTCTTAATGTTAACATTTGGAACGGATGATTGTTTACCTGTACCAAAGAATCTTAATTAAAACATATTTTCCACCGTTTTTCCATTCTTCCATTTCTCTTAAGGTGAAATATCAGGAATAAAATCCCGAAACACTAACATATTTCACCTATGAAAATGCCCGCGTCCTATCGTCAAACTAACCTTATCTCATATTACAAAGGTTGTCGCACAGCTTGATGTTTTATTGACTCAGTGTTCTATCACGGATGAATCGATAAAGATTTTCAGAATAGTTTAAAGTAGAGAGAGAACTTAACAGTAGACTGAGGATCCACCCTTTAAAAAATTTTGAGTCCTCTACGCACATAGGAAACTTATTACTTAAAAAGGCGCCTTTGCTAAGGTACTTACGTCAACATCGGCTTATTATCAGTTACTGGGGCAAGCGAATAATTATTCTTGATTCAGAATACGTTAACTTGGTTTCGGCTTCAAGTTCAATGCAGGGATTACTGAAATTAATTGAGTTACGTAAGTGAATAGAACGCAACAACCGCAGCGAGGCCGAAGGTAGACAATATTTGTTGTCATTCGAATGTAATCGAGATGATATTACTCCTCTTAGTATAATTATCAAAATCTACGGTAACATGCGACAGAGATATGACACTGAAGCTCATAAGAACGAAGACAAACCTATTAAAAAAGTTTGATTTCAATTTAGACAACAGTAACATACAGCAAATATTCCAGTTAACGTACACATGACATCGAGGTATTTTGCATTTGATCATCAGCGAGCATGTCGCATCAGAAAAATTCGCTTGGAAAAAATTATTTTCAATTGTTATCAACAATAATTAGAATTAAAATCACCTGTAACACGAAAATCATAGTGGTTTTCCGCCACAGATATTTCCTTAGCGAAATTTTACAAGTGGCTGCCGACTATCGAGGTCTCACACAAGTGAGCAGTCACGCAGCAACCTGGAAAGCGTGACGCTTGATCTCTTAGGCTTCCCACTCCTCCTCAAACCTTACATTTTCCCCATACTTTAGTGGATTTCAAAATGGCTGCACAGGCTGTGAAAACCCGTCAGGTAAAAGTACCTTTTTCGTGAATCACAAGTTCTGCAGCGTGGTTTTTTGATAATTATCTTACTTTCTAGACTGCGGCAATTATCGAAGGAACCCACACAGAAGTGTTTTGTTCTGCTTATCAGGACAGAATCTTTTTGATCGTTTCACAGTTTGAGAAGATTGGAACGTTGGTGAGTGTTGGTGTCCTAAGTTTTTGTTACATTTTTTCTTTGATACCTGTTTCGGTGATTGGATGATTGGATGATTGAGTGATGATTTACACCAAGATCTCTGAGCGTAAATTAGAATAATTTCAACCATTGTATCAAAAACAATTTTGAGCTTCATGTGATCTTTGGCTGATATGTATTGTTACATTATCCATAACACGTTTTCACTCCTAAGATCTCATTTGTAATCTTCCTTATTGTCTTGCTTAAATTTTTATCATGTATGGTTGGAGAATTTTGTTTTGGATCAACTAATAAACCCCCTAGTTGATGTTTTCCTGTATTTTCATCACTTGTCTGCTAGGTTTTGTATTGATGTTTTCAGGTGAAATTTTGTTTTGGTTGCCCATGGGAGTTATTAAAAGGGTTGACAGGAGATTGTTCGAACATATTTGCTGGTGTTGTTAATCATTTCAAACGGTCTGATGGGCTTCTTTGGATGTGAAGTTGCATCAGGTTACCAATAGGCTCCTCGTAATCCTTTTGACATTGAGAACTTAAAGCTTTGAGTATGTTAATTTGCATAAACTAAGTTCCTTCAATAATCATCTGTGCATTGAACACCCTTGCAGGTTAGTGTAAATAGGATGTCTCCAACAGAGAGCTCATCCAAAAGAGAGGCACAGACATTCAACACAAGAATACTCATGGGCAGTGATGAGGTTTGTTCAAGTTCTATACATAAAAAGGAACAAGGAAAGACTGCAAAAAAGTCACATTTTCATGCTCACTAAATTAATTAATAGGCTAATAAATATAATGGGTAACTTAGTGTTAACAACTGAGTTGAAAACATAAATTAGCCACCGTAAAGGGTAAAAAAGCTGAACTTTCTAGCGTTAGCCCTTACCCCTTTAGTAAATACAGTGGTCTACCATGTGTAGTCTTTTAAGGTGTATGAAGAAATTCACTCTAAATACTGTCAATGAGTGGAAAATTATTCATGATTACAACAGGTTTTTGAGAGGATGGACTGTTACTGACAGAAGGTTAATATCACTTCATTCATTGACTTATGCTTGTATTTATTTTTTAACATGTTATTACATTGCAGGAAATCTGGCATGTTTATGCTAAACAGATTGGAGCCCTTATAACTGAGCATGCCAGCAAACCAGTTCTTTTGGGTATTGCACTCAAGAAACATTCACCACAGATACTACAGCAGATTTTAAAACTACTTGAAACAAATAGAGTCTGGTGATAAAGTTTACCTGTCTTAGACAGGAAATGTACAGATTCCTACACAACAATAATTATTGCAATTATTTACAAATGAGTCTGATAAATTTTTGGACAGTGAAAAGTTTAAATCTCAAGCTTGTTACTCCATGACATAGCTGTGAGTATCAAAACAAGAGCATACAATGCAGAAAAGCCCATAATAATTGATTTTGGAGCCTTTCAATCCAACCATTAACCGTCACTCACTTTTATATATATATTTTTAAAGTTTCATCTTATGTGAAGTACTTTTTCTTCATGTAAATACATAATACAACTAATAACTCAAAGGAAAATGTTTTGTTAAATTAGGTAATAATTTGATGTTTATTTACAGATCTTTTGCTTTCTTCTGCCATCTGTATAACTTTCAAA